GCCTAGACATAGATTTTATGCTACGTGACACTCATCACCTAGGTGTATCTGCAACTATGATGTAACTGATACTTCTCATAGTGTTTGAATATGCACAATCTAATTTTATTATCACAAACGTTATTACGCAGCTATTCACATCGCAAATAATCACTTGGAGAACCGTAATAATTGGATTTATCAGGCATTAAGTATTAACCAATTTAATATTGTACACTCCGTTTCGCAGATCATATTTTATTTTATTAACTGGGTCTCACAGACTAAATCTGTACTCGGTTACTATTTAGTAACTAATTAGTGCATACTTAAACCGAACACACCAGTTTCCACTTACGTTCTAAAAGGAGAAATAATATGATTTAATTTAGTTTCACCAAAGTTAAACCCTAGTTATAGGTTTTTCGTGCTAAACTAATGTTTCAGAATACGTTGGATTAATCGCTATAATGAGATTAATAAAAGTACTATAAAAGAAGACCTAGCGAAACGATATGTGTGTATAAACAATATCAAAATAAATTTTTTTCAAACTTACAGAACACAGGAGATAAAGCATTAAATCATGTAATTGTTCAACACCATATACAGACCTTAAAGAATCATACAATACTGATAACACTGCACCACCAGAACAATGTCCTGTGTTTATATTATTAACAAGACGAGTCAAGTGATTAAAAGCGGTAGCTGTTTCCTTCATAAATAAAAACAAAAATATTATTAAAACTGAAGTTTAATTGAATGAATAGTTTACATGGCATAGCTAGTTTTTACATTAAGTAACCCGGATTTTTTGCACCTCAATATTCCAACATTTTTTAACTTTTTGTAAATAAAAGTTGTCACAACACAATCGCAGATTGAAAAACCTATGCTACTCCTTGCAGATGTAACACATTTATTTTTAAAATCAACGACAAACCCAAATATATCTTGTGTTTAAGAGAGTAATAAACTCATATGACTTGTTTCAAAATAAATTAATCTGTTAGTTAGTTGTTTGGGTAACAAACCGTCCCTGCTACCTCCGAAAGCTATCCCATTTGATAAATTTAAATGGTGCAATGAGAAAGCGAAATTTATAAGACCAATATTATATATATCAGCGGAATATATTCCGAACAGCCTGATTGCATATATATATATATATATATATATATATATATATATATATATATATATATATATATATATATATATATATATATATATATATATAAGACAAACTGGGAGATAAGAAAAGGAAAGATAGGGAAGAAATAATTCAAATCATAACTCCGGATAACAAATCAATAATATCAGGATAGGTTTACCAGAAGTATAAATTGTTTTCAAACATACAAAAAAGATTAGGACGTGAGTGCGATTAACGGTCCAACAAATCCAAGCACTCTCACTCAATAACCTTTATACAAAATTACAAAGGCTGAATTATTAACAACCGAATGATCTGTGTCAATTGTATTGGGTAATGGAAGAAGATAGGTGGTTGTCATCTGCTCTTACTGAGTCATTTTGAAACAATTATTGAACTGCACTTTCTTTTGTTGCGCGAAATCCAAACTACTTTAAGATGTTTAGTGCTTTAGAGCGCAATTGTGACACATATACTTACAAAGAGCATAAATAAGGCATGTGATTATGCGTTCTCCCTCTAATCTTACTTGAAATATTAACTTTCATAGAACTCTGACGATTGTGAGAAACTCATGAGGCTGTTTCATAAAGAATGAATAGATTTTTGTTCGGATCCATCATCATAGTTATATTGATTGAATAATATTGTTGTACTTATGGTTGCGTGAGCTGGATGAAACTGTTCTCTGGAACCGTTTGTTAGGGATGAATACGTAAGTTTATGAACATTATTAAAGTCCTTCACAAAAATACAGTAAGTAAAATAAGAGCATGTAATCAGTCCAACCATCCTTGACTCACGAAGAACACACTGACTGACAACACTGTGTAGTTACACCAAGGGTCCAGTAACATGTCACTGGGCAAAAAGGGAATTATCATTCAACATATATTTTGGAATATTGGGTCACACAACCTGAACATATTATGCATCTTATCCCGGTGTCGATCATACAGAAGCAATGATAGTTGAGAGTGAGCTGCAAAAGTAGGGAGGTGGACTGTTTATGAAGTGATGCAGCAAGTTGAAAGACATTAGTATTGAATTATCATGTGTTGGTTTGTCACAATACTTTGAGGTTGTCTTCGTTTTACATACAATGGTATGAAAAATAATGATACTAAAAGGTCGCCCATCGAAAAAATATGGATAAGAGGGCAGTTTGGATTGGTATTAACTCAACCAAAAAATAGAGTTTAAACTGGGACTTCAATGATAGAAATCTATAATAAAAGGCGTATTTCGAATCTTATGTTTATTGAATTTTTAGTTCGTAAAGTAAATTCGATATGCTGACAACTTTGAAGGGAATATATATCTATGAAGTGTCTGCAAGAGATACAACAGGAACCAATCGTACCAGAAGTAGTAACTATCTCACAAACAGGCCTGTTATTTTTATTTCATTTCAACACATAAATATTGGTACAAAAGGGAACCAAATATATATGCGCCACACCATATTTGTGTGTGTGGGCTGTGATACTGCCCGAGTGCCCAGACCGAAGCAGGTGGTTTTCTTAGGGGGCCACACCCCGAGCCCTTGACCTGAAGGTCTAACCCACAAGGCAGTGGATCATCGTAAGGAGATGCAGTCCCATGGTAGCCGGTGACCGAAAATTGGTTCATACGCCATTTGTTCCCGCAGGATACTGGAGCCCATGTGTACCATTGATTTGGAATCCGGTTAAAGCGCCAGACATTGGCCTTTCGTCCTCTCAATTTCGTAAACAACACCCTGGTCACGAGAAGGCAGTGAGTAGGCCTTCCCTGGTAGAGGCTGTATACGCGTGGCCGTGTGAGAGCATTTCGAGAGGGAGAGCAGGCCCACCCCACTCTCGGTCATACCAAGGCATTTGGGGGCCTGTGTATGAACACCAACCACATAATAAACCTTCAAGATTGTAACCACACTCCTAACTAGTCTATTTCCAAGCTTTGGATTCGAAATCATTATCTCTTAGGATTCTAGACTGATTTTCGTTTTCTTACGCTTTGTGTAAATGTCTTTTGAATGTCATTCAAATTTTAATCACAAAATAGCTTACTTGCAAAAAAAAGTGGAGTTTAACTATTCCCAATTGACCAATTTTATGCTGGTATTCAAGTTGACATAACAGAATAAGATAATCCTTAAGTAAACCGCGCATTGCACATGCTAGTGCCTGGTTGACCGTTCCATATTCGAATGTGGACTTCTCTTTGGCAAACAAAAACATATTTAAATAAGACTGATTATAAACTAAAAAATATGATTCTCAGAAATTTCCATACATTATCGACACAATAATTCGTAAACAAAGATAATGTGTAATAATATCGCAGTGCTATTATAAGTATTAGCTAAAGTTAGATTATATTGCTTGAAAGGCTATTCCTCGCCCATTGTTGAATAGTTTGGCTCATTGAGAACCACTAACCCAGTACAGCTTTGTATACCTGTCTTTTTACTTCACTTTTGTTTGGAAACCGGTTATATCACATAGCTACCCAAATAAGAGGGATTAAAACCAAAAAATAATAGAGTGGGGTTGTCAGCAAGCAATTTAACAAGACCTGTGTTTAACACTGACCAAGATTATGTGGAATGAAAAGATAAAACCAACAATGAAATGAAACAGAAACTTACCACCTATAAATCTAGCCACTGTTGAATAGTCCGAACAAAGTGGGAGAATTTTATTTACAGTATCTGATAAAGAGGGAGCTAAAACGAAGGATTTAAAAGTAAATACATGAAGTGGTGGAAAGCCACAAATAATCACTTGAATAGAAAGGTACAATTACTATTATACAACTCAGATCCTTAGCCGAGTTCAAGTTAGTTTGAGCATGTAAACTGATGATTACAGGTATGGTCTAGAGATTGTGACCACAGAAAATTGATATGAAAATGAGTGTGATAGCCCTAGCTCAGCCATATACGTAATTTTCCTGTAATAAACATAGTTCTAGGCACTTCACTTATAATTTTTGGTGGTCGATTAAATGAAGTCTCTAGGGGTTAATTCATTAAAATACGTTAGCTCAGTTGTCCTCATGCAATTAAAATCGACAGTCTCATAAAGGGTAGTGAGTGTGTCACAACAAATATGAAATAAAAACTACGAGATACAAAATGATTGAGTGAATTATCCAACTTTGTAGTCGCGAGAGCGATTCTGATAACTCAGGCGAGTAGATCACGGCCATCAAGCTATAATATGGAGTATTTTTTATGCAACGAATGTATCCTAGCTCAAGTACTAGCACACGACTGAACAGAAACCTACTATTGCTAGTAACACTAAATGACTATGAAATAACAGAAAGAATGGAATGCGACATGTATCAGTTGATATGGAAAATAAAAGAGAAGAACCTTAAACTGGAAGCCAATGGAGCTGTAAAAGTGTCAATGACTAGTAAAAGTTACTAGGTATCCAGTTAAATATTAACTGTCCGTAAAACGTTATTATTGACTCATATTTATAACATGAAAATTTGGTAAAATAGGGCATTAAAATTTTATTATGTAAAGTGAAATGATAACTAATAAAAAATGGAAGAGGGTAAGGTCGTATAGTTTGGTTAGAACAACAATCAAAGTCGTTTATTGAAAAGCTGAATCCTATATGAGAAGCCCAGTGAAAAACAAGAATAAAATCGCCACTGACTTTTACTTTGAGCAATGTTTGGCAAAGTCTAAAATCAATGAGTTGCTCTAACTGACACAATTATCCATCTTGTCTATCATGAAGAATTAAATAGGCAACATTAGCCGGAATGTTAATTCTTTGGGGTAATCTAAATAGTTGCAAAACCAGAAGCATCAAATTCAACGGGGCAGAGAGCGAACACGTACTGTCAGCTGTATTAAGATGTTGTTGGTGTAAAGTGTTTGATGAAGGTAACTACCGTCTGTAAACTATTTTACCAGAATTAAGGATAAGAATAGGTTGTATGTGGAAATACCACATCGACCCTTTCCCGCAAGGTTGAAAGGCTCCGCTCCCCCGTGGAGGAACTAGCAACAACAGCAGAAAGAACAACAAGAAAAGGAAATATGACGCAACGAAATATAGAAAACTAGAGAGACCGGCCAGGGGTAAGAGGGCAAGGAGATTTGGGAGGAGGAGTATGAGAAAGCTTATGACAGCGTGGACAGGAGAATATTATGGAAACTTCTTCGACATTATGGAGTTCGAGAAAATTGTCAACATTATCCGGCACTCATACGACGGACTACATGGTGCATGGATGACAGCTGACAAATGCATTCCAAGTAAGGACCGGAGTCAGACAAGGCTGATTACTCTTGCCCTCTCTTTTCCTTATAGTGGTTGACTGGATAATGAAGACCCCGACATCTGAAGGGAAGCACGGAATACAATGGACAGCTCAGAATCAATTAGACGATTTGGACTTCGCTGATGACCTAGCCCTCCTATCCCATACACACGAACAAATGCAGATAAAGACAACTAGTGTAGCAGCAGCCTCTGCATGAGTATGCCTCGACATACACAAAAGAAAAAGCAAGATCCTCATATACAGTATGAAGAGCACCAACTCAATCACACTTGATGGAGAAGCTCTGAAAGATGTGGAATCTTTCATGTGCCTGAGAAGCATCGAGGAGGATCTGATGTAGAAGTAAATGCGAGGATCGGCAAAACAAGGTCCGCATTCCTACAACTGAAGAACATATGGAACTCAAAACAATCGTCAACCAATACCAAAGTCAGAATCTTTAATACGAACGTCAAGACAGTCCTACTGTACGGAGCTGAAACGTGGAGAACTACTACAACCATCATCAAGATGGTACAAGTAATTATAAACAGTTGTCTGCGCAAGATACTCAACATCCATTGGCCGGATACCATCAGTAGCAGCCTCCAGCTGAAGAGGAAATTAGGAAAAGACGTTGGAAGTGGATAGGACATACATTACGGAAATCACCAGACTGCAATGCGAGACAAGCGCCCTAAACCGGAATCCTGAAGGGAAGCGGTAAAGAGGAAGGCCGAAGAACACATTACGTCGGGAAATAGAAGCAGATATGAAAAGGATTGCCCAGGACAGGGTTGGATGGAGAGTGCTTGTGAGCGGCCTATGCTCCTCTATGAGGGCTAGCAGCATAAATAATATATAAAATCTGCTACCAACCTCCTCCTGCAACACAAGCCTGTGTTCAAATTAATAATGTTGCGAGTAGTTATTTACGATCAAAATGTGTACGGATATGGGTTCTTTTTAGATTGCTGTTTGGATTCTGGTCGTCCCCTCGTGTGCCTCAAACTCATCTCTCTTTTTTAGCAAATTTTTCCAAGACGTATTGATTTAAGAGAATTGATTCTATCAACTATTAAATCCAAGCGTCAAATGGAAAATTAGATTTCAACTTAGTGGAAAGTATAAAAGATTGAGTAAATTTGCCAGACCCCATGATGATGCGTCAGTCAGTAATCTTCAGAGCTTCGAATTGCTAAGCAGAGCGCTCGAAAGGATAATTCACCTATCTACCCAATTACCACAACAACTTTGATAAATGTGTCATGTACTCTTTGGTCAAATACTACTGATTCACCCAAGAAAATCGAGTTTTAGATGAACCTTCAACCTCTGAAACATCACAAATCATCAGGTCCAGACAACTCTACTTTTCTCATCGATAGTGATGAAATTATGGTAAGAGAACTGTTTTGATTGTTTAACAAGGTTCAGTAGGCATCCATCATCCTAGAATGAAGCAATAGTGACACCTATACTTGGAAAGAACATAAATAAGACACGTGATTTTAGACATCTCTCTTTGATCCTATTCAAATTATTAACCTTCATAGCTATGTGAGCGCTGGTGATATGGTAAATAGAATCAATATACGTGTAGTAAGCTCCATCATTGTTTGTGTTCATCACTATAACGTTTGATGCTATCCTGATGTTCTTCTAGTCGTTTGGAAACACAGAAAATAATTTTACGAGTACGAGGTCATTAGGACTATGTCAAACTATTAACCATCAGCGAACATCTTACTTGACTTTCAAAAAAACTTCTGTAATATTTACAAGCCGTAAACACTCACATGAACTTTTGTTCATACAACAGAAAAGTAATAAATTAGACATTTAAATATAGTTAAACATGGTACACCCGGATATTAGGTAAGTGTTCTACTGACTAGAGAGCTGAGCATTAGTCACATCAGCGATGAAAAGTACTATGATAAAATCTTTCTAATAGAATTAGTGAATATCACTAACTATAGATATTTTCAGGGAATGAACATATGAACGTAAAACAGACGTACTCATTTTTTCGTCCACTTTAAAACATCGGACTGCGTAACGATTCGATAAAGGCAGAGGTTTGATGTAAACTCCTTGGTTACCCTAAAATGTTTAAGAAAATTTAAGAGTAATTCTTAATTTAATTGCTACAAAAAAATAAATAAAAGAGCAGTATAAACTGGAATGAATAGACCTATTATTTGTGTTTATATAAAACAAATAGATTAAAATGAAATTTACTTGCAAACACTGTAGTAGATCGCTAACAACAGCGTATTCCTGGACAGCATTTGAAAGAGATTCGATGGGGAGTTGCTGGAAAGACTTAAGGGAAAAGCAAACGAGTAAAATGTACAAGTTAATGAATAGTGATTTCTGCATATACAAATCAAAAATCTCAAATAAGCTAAGTGAATCCAGACCTTGAGTACATACCCTATCAAATAAATGCGTAACATAACTACAGGAAGTCTATACTATCAACATTATTCCCGAAATTATATACTTGAAACGAACTCCACCAAGCACTACAACTTATAAGGAAGGAAATTATCGATTTAAGGTGAGTGGAAGGTCAACTTTCAACACATTACTTTATGAACTTCTAATGTATTTTTATTAAGTAAAAATTAATCAGTTTATAAATACCGATCATTGTAATCAATACAAAACGGAATAACATGTATTTTTAATTATACTGAAGTTATCATCAATAAAGCTTCAGTTAATAATTCAGACTTTTTACCTCAGATAAAAGGGGATGGAGAAAAACGATGGAAGTAGTCTCGTTCATTATTGAAGTCAGAGTTACGAAATCTTACCTTAGTGCACGAACATATCACAAACAACCCGAAATTGACTATGTAACTGATAACACATCAATGAAGTTAACCCTTCACTCAACTGTCATACATTTTTATTAATGAACTTTTCGGCCGAAATCTAATGCCCACGACAACCGAAAATCGCCAGGGAGGGTTTTCAAACATAACTTTATTTAACTGGATCCAGTCGGTTACATTAAAGGCCTTGTACGAAACATTAGTTCAATCTCTTATGGATTCAAAAAAGTAATATGAAGGGAACAAATAGTGAAAAAGAACGTTATAATAAAATTAACTATTCAGGTACCACGAATGACGAATGGACTTTAGCAAATAAGGGCGGTTTTCAGTCGTTTATATCAACAAAAACAGAACCAACTTCGTTAGTTTGTAACAGATTGTACCTGAAGTAGATTAGATATGAACACGTAGCACAAAAAGATGTGTACAAATATTGAAGTATGTATACAGAAGCTAAATGATGCTTAAATAATGGGGAGTAAATTTTACAGTACTTTTAAACCATCGATTTATAGAAACGTCAAGTTGGATAGTCAGCTAATGATTCTTGTTAAATTAATAGCTAAACTTTGAATTAGTTACGACTGTTCAAATAATCTGATCATCATCGAGCCAAAATACAATAAAAAGCAATATTTAGGACGTCAAAGTAATAGGGTAACGACATGTCACTTTATTTGGTCTTCATTTATTCACGGTTGGAAATCGCTGGCGTATACAAATAAGAGCATTCTGTGAGCCAACTGCCTGAGAATCCAATGATTTTTGAAAGACTGATTAAAACAAGATACAAGCATGGTGACACATCTGGTCAACAATTACCAATACTAGAAAATATAGTGCATTTGCTTTAAGACTACACTAAATTTGACGACTCCGACTTTTAGGGGGAGCACTAAATAAATTTCATCATAAACACGAGAATTAACACATAAAAAACCTTTGGCACACTAAGACTCACTTCTGAATTAGGTGAAATCGACAGAAAGTCATCCCAAAGCGTCTCGCGTGAGTATATCCACTCTGGTTGCAGAGGAAATGTTGGAGGTTGGACTGTGTTGCTAGAAACCAACTTTTTAGATGTATTCTTGGAAGCCTGAACAAATGAACTGGAATCTGCGCCAAGACCACATGCTGAAAACAAAGATAATTCATCTGACGCACCAAACATGGGTCTCAGACTATCATTTTTGACTGGTTGCACTGAACTTGACCCTTGTGTACAAGACTCGTCATTCACATGTTGAAGATGTGCTATATTCTGAAAGACATTCATCATACTTGAAAAACACGTTTTAACGGGTACAAAAAAAAACATCGTACAAAAAATACGAGTGGTAAGAGGATCTAAGGAACTATGGAAAGTAGCATAGTTAAGAAATTCTTGACATTGTATGGTTTTCATCCAACTACAACTGAACTACTGATAGTAACTCGCGAGTATCTTCTACTCTTAATGATCACGTTTCGCAGCCGTAAAGTAAAACAACGAACTGCTGAGCAGTATACTCATCCTTCCATTGATAGACGGATATCTAGCCTTCATCATATGTAAGTTCGAAAAAGCCAAACGAGCTTTCTGAATCTGTGCTGAGATCTCGTCAGACACCAACCCATTAGGGCTGATCAGACTTCCAAGAAAAGTGAAGTCGTCGACGCGTTCAACTACTTCACTCCTTATCATCAGTTCAGGTGTTGATGCACATCAGTACTGAGTCTGACGAGTAGTGAATATGGTCGATACAACCACAACCAATCCTGAAACCAGCCTGATTTTCTCATGTTTGCAATTCACAAGTCATTGCAAAGCGCCCGATAATTATTGAGGCTAGTATTTTAAATGCTATATTAGTTAAACTAGTCTCTCTATAGTTATCACAGGTTGATTTTAGCCCTCTCTTATATATTGGGACAATCAGTGATTGTGACCAGTCAGATGGGATTACGTCTAACTCCCATACTTTAGCTAAACTATTAGTCAACCTAATCGCTACAATTGGATCACTATTCTTAAAGACCTCTGGAGCCAATGCATCTGGACCAGATGCTCTTTCTCGTTCAGATTGGCTATAGCTTTTTGAACTTCAACTAGAGTCGAGAGACCTAGTGCAGTGCTATATTCAGGCTGTTTTGGAATGGTGAACAGTTGTAGAGTAGCTGAAGGTCAGCTGAACTGCTCCTTAAAGTGTTTCACCCATCGTTCTAAACGTCTGAGCTAAGAGCAGATAAGTGTCGTCTTTTTCTGAAATCGTCTCACTTACAAATGACTTCTTAATTCCAGTTTCTTTTATTAGTCTGAAAAGCTGTTTTGGGTTACCCACAGCCGAAGCCTTTTCTATTTCTTCTGCTTTCGTTGCCCGATCACTGCTCACGATCGTTTCGTAGACTTTTGGTTAACCTAGATCTGATTTGATTATGCTCTTCATGTTCGGAGCATGGTGATGAGAGTTCATGAGAGTCTATCGGTGCAATAGATGTCGCATAAATCAAATGGACTTTCGTCACCATTTGGTTAAAATCAACAATACATGTCGCTGCTGTTTCCACAACTGTGCCTATATATTCGCAAACAACATATGAGTCAGCTTCGCTTTTCGAAATGCGTAAGTAGTTCACGGAATCGATCTTTGGCTTTCTCATTTTTAACTTCGACTGTAGCACTTCTAGAGTTACTGCTGGTCCCAAGATCAAGTAAAGAAGGAGAGTAGAAAAAATCCTGCTAAAAAACAACCACATTAAACAAATCGAACCATTCAAACTCTGCCCTGGGGGTTGAAGGAATAATTATGGCGCCTCAGGATGAAAGCCAAGATTCTTCTGAAGTCACGAGACCGATGCCCCTTCTAACAACCAGAGCAACAATTTTCATAGGTACATGGAACGTCCGGACAATGTGAGAGGTCGTGAGGACCAGTCAAATAACAACGGAACTAAGGAGATACGAATTGGCAGTACTTGGAATCAGCGAAACCCATTGAACTCAAGCTGGACAGCAAAGGTTAAATAAGGGAGAGATGCTGCTGTACTTCGGTCACGAAGAGGAAAATGCTCCACACACTCAGGGAATTGCTCTAATGCTGTCCTTTGAAGCACGAAATGCACTTGTAGGATGGGAATCTCACGGATCCAGAATTATCAAAGCATCATGCAAAACAAAGAATGAGGGGATCACAATGAATGTTATCCGATCTTATGCACCCACCAATGATAGCAACGACGATGACAAAGATCAGTTCTATGAGAGGCTGCAATCAATCACAGCGAAATATTCAGGAAATAAACTGACCATCCTGGGGGGAGAACTTGTTCAGCCATCTTGATGTTATGCCTACATTCGTCAGTCCACGAGAACTTGCATCAGATCACCAGATACACAGAGGGTATATCTCGTTGGCTATCCGTTTTTGCGAGGTGAATGCAAATGAATGACAATACTAGGATCTTGGATGCGTGTCTCAGAGACACAGTATGCATCAATCGTGCATGATTGTAGTGTCTTAGCTAAGGAGTTCTGCTGACCGATTCGACATATGGTACGGACGTCGAAAGCTTCAATGTGTAGATTGCAGCAAGGTTTCAGTAGACATGAGACAGGATTTCGCGCACTACAATCGTTCACCATGATGACATTTAAGGAGGACGTTTGGGGTTGGAAGTTAAGGTAGGAAGAATAAAGGGAACTGAAGAGGGAAATTGATTATGAATACAGTGGTCTTGAGTGTTGTTAGAGGTATGAGGGCGGTTATCACTCCCCAGTCTCCCATACTGTGGAAGGGTTCTTTTAGATGTACCTGAAAAGGAAATTGGATTAGAGATGGTCTTAGTGACCTGAGAGCGTGACCACAGTGCCCATGGGACAACTGCTTGAGGTCGGTCACACACGACCTTTTTGTGAGTAATTTTCGTGTTAGCTCCGTACTTGTTGAGACCTTACCGCCGGGGACGGATATCCGTGAGATAAAGCGAGGTATGCATTTTTAGGGTAGACCTTTCATAACCCCACATTTCCTTGTAGGAAGAAAGCATCGCTATCATGTTGGTTCTGAGGCAAACACTTTATTTCCATCACTACTGTGAAGTCAGCATTACAACTTCGCCTTTGGACCTTGAGTTTGCTGCTTTTAGTCTAACGGTTCTTCAACCAATCTGCCTGGCATGGTAGGACCTTAAGGAACGATTGTTCCAGCCAGTATAGCCCGAACGCCTCATCACGAGAGGCAAGCCCGACTACTACGACAAGGTAGCAGCAGCGGTCAGGACCTTTACACTTGACTGCAGATCCTTTCAACGCACTCAAGTGTTGGATTAACTGGGAGGAATCTCATAGGCGGAGTGACGTAGTATTCCCATTTAACCGTCATTCCCTACAAGTAGGTCATATAACTAAGCTAAAATACAAAAAATAAACGGATACCTGTCATTATCATAGTCTACTGGGTTGACAAAAAACATTTTGGGGAAGTGTAACAATAACTGATGTATAAAAACAATAAAACGCACAAACCTTACTAAAGGGTAAATTAAAGACGGTCGAAAGATTACGAGTCGACATCAACAGAAAGCCCCCAAATGCCCTGGTGCGGTCGAGAGTGGGGTGGGTTCGTCCTCTCTCTCGAAATACTCTCACACGGCCACGCATATACAGCCTTTACCAGGGAAGGCCTACTCACTGCCTTCTCGTGACCAGGGTGTTGTTTACGAAATTGAGAGGACGAAAAGCGAATGTCCGGCGCTTTAACCGGATTCCAAATCAATGGTTCACATGGGCTCCAGTATCCTGAGTGAACAAATGGCGTATGAACCAATTTTCGGTCACCGGCTACCATGGGACTGCATCTCCTTACGATGATCCACTGCCTTGTGGGTTAGACCTTCAGGTCAAGGGCTCGGGGTGTGGCCCCCTAAGAAAACCACCTGCTTCGGTCTGGGCACCCGGGCAGTATCACAGCCCACACACAATTAATGAACTGAACTGTCCATGATCATGGAAACTAATTCTCTTGCTTCGACGAACATTCAAATGATTCTATTATCATTATTATTACTATTATTATTATTTACTACGTCATTATTCACCCTCCTTTATTCCCACTCTGTTTATACTTATTTTTTCGACTAATACAGCAGCTCGTCTATGGTAAAAATTCGACTGTATCTAAACGTTCTCGAGTCACTGCCTGGTTGAAATTTGTATGCTACCACCAAATACGAATACTGAAACGGTCTTTCTGAAACCACGTGCACCATTCTAACTGGCTGCCTTCAACGTTCGCACACTTATGCAGGTCGAACAACAGATAGGGTTGGCTATGTCTTTGGAAAGTCTTAATATCGACGTTTGTTGTCTATCCGAGACCCGTATTCAAGACTCTGTTGAAGTACTACAAATTCGCTCTCCATCCGTCGCTTCCAAAAGCTTGTTTTACGTGCGTTCATCCGGGGGCCCTGTGGCATCTTAGTCCGGTCTTGCTGACGTTGGTTTCGCACTAAGCGCTTGAGCTGAGGCAGCACTAATCGATTAGATCCCCGTTAACAGTCGGTTATGTGCTGTTATATTAGAGAGTTCCATCAAAGTGAGAAGAAACCAGCGTGAGAAACGATATTTTTTCGTCATCTTCGCCTATGCCCCGACAGATTGCAGCCCGGATGCAATCAAGGATGAGTTTTACCACCAGTTATCTGTTCTTCTCCAGAAAGTGCGTTCGACAGATATTGTAGTACTAGCCGGAGACTTGAATGCTCAGGTCGGGCGTCTAGGCACAGAAGAGAGTCGTTTAGGTGGCCGATGGGGACTCGTTGGTCGCAGGTCAGATAACGGGGACCGTCTACTGCAACTGTGCACAGACCACAACCTATTTCTGGCTAGCATTAACTTCCGGCGCAATCATCGCCGATGTGCCACTTGGCGCCCTCCCTCTGTATCTCAAGCCTGGACTCAGACTGATCACATCGCGGTCAGCTACCGCTGGCGTGGTTGTGTAAAAGACTGCCGCTCCTTTTGGAGTACCTATCTGCACTCTGACCATGCCTTGATCTGCGCCAATCTTGCCTTACTTTTCAGTGGACAACGAAGTGACCGCCACCAACGGATTGATGTCAGCAAGTTGGTCGCAACTTCTGTTGCAAGTAAGTATCGAACAGAGCTAGCTTCTAGGCTAGCTACCACTCCACCGAAAAGTATAGATGAGCATTGGTTGCAATTGCATGACGCCATGAAAATGGCGGGTACAGTCAGTTGTGGGTTCGCGAAACGTCCCGCTTATAAGCACTGGGTTTCTTCTGGTTCCTTACAACTCATCGAAGCCCGTCAGTCTACTCCAGGTGACCGTGAGTTTGACCAGAAACGAAGGTTGTTACGCAGTGAAATTGGGCAAAGCTTGCGTAAGGACCGAGAAGCCTGGTGGTCAGAGCGTGCTAATGAGCTGGAAGCAGCAGCTACATCCGGTAATTACCGGAAGCTCTTCCAACTCATCCGAGCCACTAGCAGCAAGAAGTCTGGTGTGAGCGAAACAGGGTTGCCCAATCTCACCATTCCTCTTCAACTTTGCCATCGACGACATTCTGGAAACAGCTCTGATGGATGTAAGTAATGGTGGTGTGGATCTGTTGCCTGGAGAAAGACTTACCGACCTTGAGTATGCGGACGATATTGTCTTACTGTGCGATAATGCCCAAGGCATACAATCCGCACTTAATCAGTTGGCAATCAGTGTCCGTAGGTATGGTATGTGCTTTGCACCTTCGAAGTGCAAAGTACTTCTACAAGACTGGCAGGATTCCAATCCTGTACTCACCCTGGATGGTGAGCAGATAGACGTAGTCGAGAAGTTCGTGTATCTAGGTAGCTGCATAAGTGCTGGTGGTGGCGTGAGTAGTGAGATCAATGCACGTATAGTGAAAGCCAGAGCGGCTTATGCCAATCTAGGCCACCTTTGGCGCCTTCGTGATGTTAGTCTGGCTGTAAAAGGTCGGATCTACAACGCGTCGGTGAGAGCAGTTTTGCTCTGTGCTTGTGAAACCTGACCTCTCCGAGTTGAAGACGTTAGACGACTCTCTGTGTTCGATCATCGTTGTCTCCGAAGGATTGCTGACATCCAGTGCTAACACCATGTCAGTAATGCAGAGGCTCGGCATCGTGTGTTCGGGCACAGAGACGATAATGCAATTGGTGTCACCATCTTGAAACACCGACTTCGGTGGCTTGGACATGTTCTCCGAATGTCGTCCCAGAGAATTCCACGTCGTGCATTATTTGCCGACTCTGGGACTGGTTGTAAAAAGCGGAGAGGTGGTCAGTGTATAACATGATGTCGTGGTATGAAAGATGTACAGGACTGGCTTCTGTTGGACCTTCACGACTCCGTGGTTGAGGTCCGAGAGATGGTGCCACACAGTGGCTAGAGACGTTATCAGATATGACTCAGAATAGAAGCCAGTGGCGATCCTGCTGTAACGTTCTTTTACTTTCTTCATAAAAAATGGTTGTGTCTTCCTTACCTCAAAGATTTCTTCTGATTGTACCCTTCTGTTCCCCTACTATTGCTATTATTATTATTACACTACCTTACACCAATCTCTTCGTTTTTTTAATTATTATTTCTTTTTTACGTTCCTTACTTTTTTTCTTCTTAGATTGTCATTGTTTTGTGTGGCGCATATATATTCGGCGCACTCCTGTACCAATATATATGTATTCAAATAATAATAATAATAGAAGGATATCTGGGATGACATAAAACTACGACCCAAAATAGATTTTCAGTAGCACACAAATAATTGATAATTCTAGTTAAGCGATTCACTTTTTCCCATCAAAAAACTTAAAATATAAAGCACAGTATCATTAGTGAGAAAGAATTGAACAAAATAAGTTGTAAGATGTGAGCTTACCTCCCCACAAACGGGAATAGGAGAGACATTGCTTTGGCCATTAAGAGGCTCAGTAGACAAAGGAAGATACTCTAAACTTCTGAGTATAGCGTCGTCCAACTTCAGCTTTGATAAGAGATAAACAAAAGAGGAAAGTTCCCTAATGCTAAAATTCCCAGTAATTTTAAGAACAGTGCTAACTTTTTAAGTTTCAGCTCTTCAAACCGCCGTAAAAATCCATCGTATTGTGGGTTATCGTTTCTAAGTATGGTAACTAAATCATGAATGTTGTACTACTTTATTAAACTTGGCAGTTGTTTTTACCTGAGTGTCAGCCGAATTATCAGTGCTCTTTTCTAGACTGTCTGCAAACGCGTACATATTTGGATCACACATCAAATCAACACTGTTGAGAGTGATTAGCATATACGAGTGACAAACCCAAACATTTTGTACAAAGCTTGGACATGATGCCTAATGGAATTCTTAGTAGATTCATGACCCGCCATAACCACAGTTTCGACTTAGCGCAAAGTCCCAAATTCAAAGTTTCAGACCGCAGCAACTGGTACAGAGGATACTACGTGATTTGGATGGAATCGAACTGTGAAAGTGATTTATAAAAGGCTTTCCGTCAAGCAAAGTTCAAGATAAACGGCATTCACAATATCAGTGTGTAATCTGGGGTGATCTTATCCGCAACGCAACCATGTAAACTTAATGTATCGGTCATCTGTGCGTTCAAGTAACCACAGATTTTGTCATTTCATAATGTATTTTTAATTAAATAACTAGATTATATAGCTAATTTTGATCTTTTTTTATGTTTTTATTCGCCACGTCCGACTGCGTTACACTGCACGTCCATTGCGTGCTGGGATGATATCTCAAGTTATAGTGAGTTTATTCACATAGTTGATTGTTTCCAGATAGACTGTCAGTGCATGATTTTACTGTAGAAAGGTTTATTGTACTATAAACTATGTTTTTATGAACAACTGCCTGTTGTCTTCAGTCGGAAAGCAACATATATATATATTCTTTAAAGACAATTGTCTTCCGTGCTTTTGGTACTGTTGCTGTCATACATTATAAGATAGCGACAAGTATGTTTGTTTATTTCTAGATTGTATATCTATCACTGACCATATTTCATGATCACTGTCATTAAACAATTTCCCCAGCAATAACATCGGTAGCAGGATAGCTAAGTGTGTGAGCTTTTATTTGCCCACAGAAGAGCAGTATACAGTCTTAGAAGATGACTAGTCTGTATCTCAATTAAATGCAGTTGGCTGTGGACAAATGTTAAGAATCGTTTTGACTACTAGGACTTTTAGTTCATCAAACACTAACTCTGCTTGTATGTCTCCCTGTTAAACTAGATGCAGATACATGGTAATACTTAAATGAGAGCAAAATAATAAAAGCATTGAGATACGGTATTAAGTCCATGTTATATAACATGGACTTAATACCGTATCTCAATGCCTTGCACAAGTAATAGCTGACCTGACCTAATATTCATGAACTAAAGGTAAATCACAACTGCATAAATTCTTTGCTAAAAAACATGTAATTTGGTTATTTATCTATTCCACATTGCTGACTAAATTCACTACTGTTTTCTCATTTAGAATGCAACAGGACTGAGTCTTCATAGATCCTAAGAACTGTTTCGCCCTTAGAACTATGGCCCTATGGATCTGTTTACGGGAGACCCAACTAAGAGCAGATTATAAAAAGGATGCTGGATGTTCATTTTAATCTCACAACCACTTCCAGTACTTTTTGAGTTACTTCTTTCACCCTTTCGTTTGGAAAAACAACAAAAACTGCAGCTTAACATTACAAATGCAACTTTTAGACTGGAACTTGGTTTAAACCTTTGTTTCATATTCGATTCTTAATGAAAGTTCTCGAATAAATTTTTGAACCTAATGCTACTTTGTTTTACATACTTAATCGTTGCAAGAAACTTGTGATAATCGAGCCTCTCATCACGTAATTCATGTTTTCAGGCTTCCGTGTCTAGTAGCAGGGGATCACCAAAAGCTCCAAGCAGGAACCTAGGTATGTTAACAATAAAAGATCCAGTCGCCTCCTAAAGGACTCCTGGGAAGTCGTTTGGACTAGTTCGGCGGGCAGCGAATTCCAGCATTCGACAACTCTTAAGGAGTAGAAGTTGCGTCTACAGTCCATTCTGCTATGTCGTGTCTCTAGTTTCTGGGACTAAGCTCAAGTAGGTGTTTAAGAGAATGTCCAGAAGTGTTAAGGATCCTGTAAGTAAATAGGTCACCTCTAAGACGTCTATACTTTAATGAGTAGAGGTTAAGTGATTAGAGGCGCTCTTCATAAGGTGATTTGGTGCATATATCAGTCATTTTCTTGGGAAACCTACAGGCTCGGGTCCTCTCACAACTTATTCTAGCCACCATGAGTTGCCACGAAAACTGATGGATGGACACGCGTTACACATCCTAACCGTCCCTGCGTCTAATCTCATAGCTTCTTATTCAAATGTCATATGATGAGCAAGTAATGCTTCTACCGACACTAATGGAACACGAGTAATTCAAAGGCATCCTGTATGGTACTTTAGATTGGTCTACGCACTCACTTAGCTTTTTATTGAGAATATTACTACAGTCCTGCTAAAAATCCCATGAACCCACCTACCACCATCAAAACAACAAGTCTGTATTTGCTGCATATAGCAATTTTATTTTTCAGAAGATATATAACAGTTAGAATTGGAGTGAAATGGCAATATACAGCAGATGCACGAGGTACATGTCTTCATCGATCAACTGAAATAGAGAATACGGATATTAGTTTAACATGCTTATCTAGAAAGACTAGTGTTTACTTTGAACTTACTGCGTGAGAATGTTATACTGGAACTGTGAATAATGTAGGAATCTAGTCTCCCAGGGCGTACGAAGCACTCAAATTGGAAGACAGTTGTCCTAAAATAATTCGAATATGAAGGTGAGAATTTGCAGGTACTTTTCATCGTAAGGGTGAAAATATTAGATAACGGTTGACATCCTACCGTAAAAAAACACAAATTTGCGAGTGGTGAATTATGGTCTATAAAAAGGTGAGCTTAATAACAGTTAGTTACCTTTTTACTTTCTGATCATGACCCTTCGACTTCCTTTTGTGGCCAAAACACCAAACATACACTACACACTGATAGCAGATTTCCGGCTTTTCAATGTTAAGCTTGCTTTAACGCACTACGTTATGCGTATAACCCCTCCATTACTGCTATGTGGCATATTTTTTCATAACAAACCCTCTGCAATAGATTGGTAGCATCTGTGACTTCGTCTATGGTTGTGGGAAGCCTGGGTACTTTCGAAAACAATACTGACATCCCCTACTTCTAGGCACTAAGTATTAGTTTGACTCGTTGTGGGATATTTTTGTCCGCAATACTGAAGTAAATTAAAAACCGGAAATTGTTTCCTTTCATTTTGCCGATAACATCATAAAGGACGGTTAGGAATGAACGTGCGGACAGTTAGTCACAGGATGCAGCAACAGTTATTTCAGCTAAGAAAAAACGAACTTCGGCTTTGGATATTTAGAAAACAAGTCGAAACCAAACCGATTTCCATTTTAAAACATAAGACTAACCAGCTTGACTGAAGAAATACATTGACTAGAGTAGAAGCAGCAAAAAACAATGCTGATTCGAAGTAAATTTCACACCAACATGTAGAACATTACACTAACTGCGGCATCTTAGCACATTGAAACATTAATTACATAGCTACACAAAAGAAATAACTAAAAGAAGCACAGAACGAAGAAAGCCGGCCGTCATTACGTACAAAGATGGCTGATATGATAGTTCCCGCCACATTCTGATTGGTTGCTAAGCTGAAGAGCACATTTACGAAATTGAGTTGCGTTTAATTGCAGCCGTAATCTGCTACTAAAACCTTCCCGCCAGAAGATTCTTTGAAAGCACGTATCACCAAGTTAATAAGACTCTGTAAGTGCTCAATCGTTTATATGTGCCTTAGTAGGATCATAAGGACAGTAAACCCAGTTTTTGCCGTTCAGCTCTGCCTGTAGCTCTTCTAGAGTTACTGCCGGTCCCGAGCTCAGGTAAAGGAGGAGGGTTGGGCATGGGGTCAACAACCGCATCTCGTAAAAAAATCTTGCCAAAAAACGCCAACCGGATTAAACAAATCAAACCGTTTAAACTATACCGTGTGGGTTGAAGGAATGATTATGACGCCTGACAATTGAAGCCGAGATTCTTCTGAAATCACAAGGCCGATGCTTTTGTAGTAAGCTATTTCAACTACGTTATTATTTGTCTACTCACTGTAATTAAGGCACTTAATAAACTGAGTAAAAATATATATGTCTGATTGAGCGTGTGTTTGTACATCAATATTTAATCTACTCCCTCACAGGCTTTAAGCGAAGACAATAAATAATTTACACACAATCGATTAACACTCATAGATATATATGGATTTTTGGCTCACACCCACTCGTTTTCCCTCTGTGCTTGCTTCCTGCACGCCAGGAGATTTTACTTATCTTTAACTCTCTCTATAACTGGTGTACGGGCTATTTGTGGAGATAGGCCTGATGAGCTTATTTTGTAAATAGTTTTTGATGTTATTTGTATTTATTCAGTCAATTTTTTACTGCATGAACATTTACCATTGAACGATTGCACGTGTTGTTTAAGTGTGTAACCTTGGACACACTTCCGTCGTGTTACATTCATAGCATGACACACTCTGTTAACTGGTAACAAATACACTGTTATACACACCTCGTGTTCTGCATTCTCTCGTGATTATGTTAACTGAACTCTAAATCAGATACTGTCTATATTTATTGACTATAATCGGAATATATCATAATCTACATTTGGTTATACCACTGGGAAAACATCAACCTTGTTGAGATCTTCAATCATCTATAATTGTGGACGTTTGGTACCAGACTCAGTCAGAACACTCACAAACCTGCTGAATTAAGTAACGTCACTCATTTTTGTTGGGTTTATAACATTTAACTGATATATCTGAACATCAATATTTTGTAATTAATAACTCTGTTGTCATTTTTGAGTTCATATATTGTTTGTTCCACCACATATTGAGTGATCTTGAGTAAATCCATTATTCTGCTGGAAGATTTAGCCTGCGTTATTTACTCGGTTAACGGTATAATATTTATTAGAGTCAGATATAGAGGAAAATTACCTTGTAGCGGTAAATAAATCCCCAAAATAAATAGCTCTGTAAGTTTTCAACATTGGATGCTGACCATATGTTTTAGTGGACTCATCTAGCTGAAGGCGCTCGGTCAGACATCCGCACCAGATCACGTGTGGTAACGCTGTGCTCAACACCTACCGCATTCGCTAGCCAGATTAGATTGGAGAATTCCGATATATTGGTAATCGCCAAATACACTCTTCCGATCTCCTCGACTCTGTCTTTTGATTTCTCTTGGTGGGTACGAATTA